AAATATTTACAAAAATTTATTATAATTGATGTTATAATCAACTAGTGCTAATTGTAACGGGAACCAGTTCCTTGGATGTACAAACGCTTCCCATTTCCCTTTTAACTTGCCTTATTCCCTGTAAGTGTGTGTGTGTAAATAAGACTCTCGCGATACATTTAAGACTTTACAAAGTTTTACCAGAAGTATTCAATTTAAGCATTGCACGCATGCGCATTTGAATGCATGTGCGTAATGACCATATCATCTTGTCTACACTATTGATATATTTTAATATACTAAATATTACAGCATTTAATCCAAAAATATGTTGAATCTAGTGTATTTGGAATTTTACTCATTTCACGTGCACGCACGTGCATGCATGTGCATGATGACCATTCCCTGCTGTAGGAGTCTATAATATCTATCTATGTTCTGAATCCCATCCTGTTTGGTTGAAAATCAAGGGAGTTATAGCCATTTAAAGTTTCAGCCAATTCAGTTGCAGCGCACGTGCATGCGCGTGACTTGATTAAAATTACTATATATCATATTGTAGGATATCCTAAAGCATGCCTTTGTTTTAAATTTCAAAGCATTTCGTCAAAAAACAAAAAAGATATTCAGATTTTTGTTTCAGCCAATCAGAAAGCGCACGTTCATGCACGTGCAAGTATGTTCATGATGACTATACCTTCTTCTAGGAGTCCATTATGTTTGTCTACGTTCTAAATCCCATGCTGTTTGGTTGAAAAACACGGGAGTTATAGCCATTTAAAAATTGAGCCAATCAGATTGCAGCGCACGTGCATGCGCGTGATTTGATGAAAATTCTTATATACCATATTGTAGAATATCCTTAAGCATGCCTTTGTTTTAAATTTCAAAGCATTTCGTCAAAAAACAGAGAAGATATTGAGATTTTTGTTTCAGCCAATCAGAGCAAAGCGCACGTGCATGCGCGTGATTCGTAAAAAATTTGACAGTATCACATTATCTACACTACTAATCTATCCTTATATAATGAGTTTCAAATCATTTCATCAAAAACTAGTGCTAATTGTAACGTGTGTGTTTTTTTTAACGCTCCCCAACTCCCTTTTGGTGCCATATTCTCTATATATTATATTACATATTCTATGTAATCTCTATTAAGTAAGAAATTCTTTATGGAATTTAGACTTAATCAAGGTCTTCCCAGAAAAATACAAAATACATTTAAAAATAGGCATTGCACGCGTGTTCATGTTCATGACCATATTATCTTGTCTACACTATCTAAAATTTTAATATACTTAATATCAAGGCATTTTATCCAAAAGTATTAAAAAATACACTCATTCGAGTGTATTTTTAAATTTTACTCATTTCACGTGCAGGCACGTGCAAGCACGTGCATAATGCCTACACCTTCTTGTAGGAGTCCCTTATATTTATCTATGTTCTAAATCCCATCCTGTTTGGTTGAAAAACAAGGGAGTTGTAGCCATTTGAAGTTTCAGCCAATCAGATTGCAGCACACATGCATGCGCGTGATTTCATGATTTTTTATCTTTACCATATTGAAGGATATCTAAATGAATGACCATATTTTAAAATTCCAAACATTTCGTCAAAAAACAAAGGAGATAAAGCAATATAAAGTTTCAGCCAATCAGATTGCAGCATACGTGCATGCGCGTGATTTCATGATTTTTTTCCTATATCATATTTTAGGATATCCTAATGCATGACTATGTTTTAAATTTCAAAGCATTTCGTCAAAAAACAAAGGAGATATAGCCATTTAAAGTTTCAGCCAATCAGATCGCAGCACGCGCGCATGCGCATGCTTTCATGAAAATTTTTATATATCATGCTGTAGATCTTCATAATGTAGGACTATGTTCAAAATTTCAAAAGATTATGACAAGAAACAAGAAAGATATTGCGACTTTAGTTTCAGCCAATCAGAGCGAAGCGCACGTGCATGCGCGCGAGATCTTGCTATTTTGACCATGCCATCTTGTCTATACTACTAATGTATCCTTACCTTATGAGTTTCAAAAAAATTCATCAAAAAAAAGAAAAGTAACAGCAATATCCATTATATTGGTCATTTCACTTGTTGCACGTGCGCGCTCTTGCAAGCACGTGCGCGCAAAATGACCTTCGTTCGGCAAATCTACATAACATGTCTACTAACCCTAAAAACATTTTACCTTAGTCGGATGTGTAGTTTACAAGATCACTCGCGGACAAAATTTTCCCAGGAAGAAAAATAATAAGAATAATAATAACTAGTGCTAATTGTAACGGGGACCGTTACAGATGTTCCCCAAACGCTCCCCAACTCCCTTTTGGTGCCATATTCCCTGTAAGCTTCATTTATTAACACAAACTCTATGCATTTGAAATTTTAACAATGTTTACCCAGAAATGTACCATGCTCATTCAAATTTTAGCATTGCATGTGAAGGCATATACGTAATGACCATATGATCTTGTCTACACAATCTATATATTTTAATATACTAAATATTAAAGTATTTAATCCAAAAGTATTAAAAAATTCGCTCATTCAAGTGTATTTTTGATTTTACCCATTTCACGTGCACGCACGTGCATACATGAGCATGGTGACCATACCTTCTTGTAGAAGTTCATTAAATCTATCTATGTTCTAAATCCCATCCCGTTTGGTTGAAAACCAAGGAAGTTATAACTGTTTAAAGTTTCAGCCAATCCGATTGCAGCGTACGTACACGCACATGTATGCATGTGCATGGAGACCATACCTTCTTGTAGATGTCCATTATATATATCTATTTTCCAAATCCCATCCTGTTCGGTTGAAAACCAAGGAAATTATAACTGTTTAAAGTTTCAGCCAATCAGATTGCAGCTCACGTACACGCACGTGTATGCATGTGCATGGTGACCATACCTTATTGTAGAAGTCCATTTAATTTATCTATGTTCCAAATCCCATCCTGTTTGGTTGAAAACCAAGGGAGTTATAGCTTTTTAAAGTTTCAGCCAATCAGATTGCAGCTCACGTACACGAACGTGTATGCATGTGCATGGTGATCATACCTTTTTTTAAAAGTCCATTTTATATATCTATGTTCCAAATCCCATCCTGTTTGGTTGAAAATCATGGGAGTTATAGCTATTTAAAGTTTCAGCCAATCAGATTGCAGCGCACGTGCATGCACGTGTTTTCATGATAATTTCTATATATCATGTTGTAGGATATCCTAATGCATGGCTATGTTCAAAATTTCAAAGGATCTCCTCAAAAAACAAGAAAGATATTGAGACTTTAGTTTCAGCCAATCAGAGCAAAGCGCACGTGCACGCGCGTGAGATCTTGCTATTTTGACCATGTCTTATTGTCTATATTACTAATATATCCTTACATTATGAGTTTCAAAGCATTTCATCAAAAATTTAAAAAGTTACGCCTATATCAATTAAATTGGTCATTTTACATGTTGCACGTGCGCGCTCTTGCAAGCACGTGCGCGCAAAATGACCTTTGTTCGGCAAATCTACATAACATGTCTATTGACCCTAAAAACATTTTACCTTAGTCGGATGTGTAGTTTACAAGATCACTCGAGGACAACATTTTCCCAGGAATAATAATAATAATAATAATAATAATAAGAAACAGAGTAAAAACAATATGTTCCCCAACTTCGTTTGGGGAACATAATTTTTTTTCAGAGTAAAAACAATATGTTCCCCAACTTCGTTTGGGGAACATAATAAGAATTTACAAAAGTGTCCATCAGTCTGACAAATTTTCATTAACAAGATTGGTTTATAGATTATTGCATCAGTATGATTAATGGGCACTTGATCCTTTTGCATAAATTTCTTTGGGAAACATTTTTCTGTTACTGCATGAAATTAATAAAAATTATGTACATATTTATACTTACCACTCAAAAAGAATAGGGTCCTTTCAGTGTATGGAAAACGAATGTGTCGCATAATTTTCTTCTGCTGTAACGTACGTTTAAACTTCCCAATTGGGCAAATGTTTGAAACAATTGAAAACAGTCACAAATAATCATCTTCCAAGAAATACGTTATCTATTTCTGCTTTGACCATCAATATACAGTTTTGTCAGCTTCAAAAAACACTAAAAACCTATATATTCCTTGAAGAATAGTCCATCCATCTAAACTCACTACCAGCTAGGTCAAAGTGCTCTTGTCCAATATTCAAACTTAATTCAACTGGAAAAGGCGGTCACTACAGAGCTTGGGAAGAAATCTGATATCCAGTGCCCCATTATAAAAACCTGGCACATGGCATCAATTAACCACTGATAAATCTTTCTTAATAATAAAGGCTAAGACTAACCATTTTTTTCTTGTCTCCATTTCTCAGAAAATAAATGGGAGAAAAATGGTCCAGTCAAGGAAGGTGGATCACCAAACTGGCATTTCTTTTCCATTTACTCATATAAATGGAAAGAAAATGTTGGAACTTTACCATTTAAAATAAATTTTCTAACAGAAATGGTTCTTAAATGGTTCTGAGAAAATGTTTTATGAAAACTGAAAGATAGAGAAATGTAGGAAAAATGGTTTTGAAATGAAAAATGGCTAAAAAATGCTGAATGAATGGAAATAAAATGGAAAAATGCCATTTCTTTTTGCTATGGGCAAATCTAAATCTGTTTCTTATGAATTTTAGCCCTCTTTTTGATATCACATATGTATACTTCTTAAAAGTATTAATGGACCCAAATCAGTTAAATTTTATGACATTAATTAGTAAATGTGTAATCATAAAAATGTTCATTAAAAATTATATGTAAAGTTCTTAAAGTTCTGCTCATATAAAAAGCTATCATGCACTTTGATTTTAAAAAAGTATTTAAATACTGCTACCGTTTGTTAATGTTTAATCCGAGATTCCTCTGACTCTAACCCCCGCTTTTATATTGTGACTTGTGCGCACAAGTCACAATATAAAAGCGGGGGTTAGAGTCAGAGGAATCTCGGATTAGTTAATGTTATGCACATGGTTATCTTGTACTTGCAAGTAAATGTAACATTAAAAAAAAAATAATGAAAAAATAAGTCATTTAGGCTATTTGATAATAACATGCTAAATGAACATGTTTTGCTTTTTAATTCTCCTTCACTCAGTCTTTGTATAATATACATTTATTGACTGAGTTCGAGGGCAACATGCGTTTTGTCAGACCCAAGAACCAAACAGTCTGCCTGAGGCCGTTAGGCCGAAGGCAGACAGTTTGGTTCGAGGGTCCGACAAAACGCATTTTGCCCGAGAACTCTGTCAATAAATGTTTTGTTATACCTTTCATTTTATTATATATTTTTTGACATACATGTATTTTGTACTATATTAATGTAACATTAGATCTGTCACTTTTTAAAACCAAAGAATGAAAATGAGATTAAGCTCCGCCCATTCTGTGACGTAAGTGGTCCAACATTTCTCCGAGCGGTCCAACATCTCACTCAGCGGTCCAACATCGATTTTTTATGCCCGCTCAGCAAAACATTAAAAATGTTAGACTTTTTCTGTATAGATTTGTATAGGCACAATTTTTTAAAGGTATAACAATGTATATTTTTAGATGAGCTGATCGCCAACCAGGAGATCAGAATGATCGCATCTGCTCCTGCCACTTTAAGGATGGTAAGAAGGAGGGGGACCCTGCATATTTTGCATGGAATGAAGGAAAGGCCATGGATTTCTCTGATCCTGAATGTACAAAAAGGTGAAATTATTTTTCAAAATATGACCGACATCATATTTTGGATGGTGGGTGGGTGGAGTTTAATTGAGAATATTTTACTAAAAATCTTTAAAAGGGTACATGTAATTGTATAAACAGAGTAGCTTACAACTGAATAAAAAATAATTCAAGTTTAATTATTTTACAAAGGAGGAAAAAACTCAAAAGTGAGGAGTCCCTGTCATCTTCACAGATGGACCAGTTGCAGATTCCACAAGCACCAAAATGTCAATATCAAGAAAAAGTAAAGCTCATTTAAAACATCAATGATAACAAATGACCAACACTGAAACATTTTCAATAATTTTTAATAATATATAAAGTTCTTTTAACTGTACATGATTTACAATATATTTTCAGTTGATATCAGAGCACAACTACTCAGCATCCTGCACATTTAACTGTACTCAAGAAATGCAGCGCCTCTCAACAGAAATACAACTGGAAAAGGAATTGCTTGCCCTAAAAATAGAGTCTAGTAAAAGGAAGCCAATATCAATCCACGATATTAAATACAACGAAGAGAAGGTACATTTAAAGGAATTCCAATTGTGATTTCCTATTTCCTAAAAATTTCAGTTACTGTAATAAAAACTTGTTGCCATTGAGGGATGAACATCTTAGATTGACTGTTATGTTAACATATTTTGTTATTATTTGGGAGTTTAGGTCTCTGATCAGCAGGGGCATTTTCTCTATATATTAAGAAGAAAATGGAGACTCCCTACCCACCCGATGTATTTTGTCGGACAGTTTTCTGTACATTGCAGGTAAAAATTTTATTTATTAACTTTCCAGCCTCTTATTGTAAAGTACATTTTGGGTTCAGTTTTAGCTTTTCTTTAATTTTTAAAAAAAATTATTTAAATTCTCCTTTTCTTAGAATAAAATTCAATAAGTAGCTTCTGATTGTAATAAGACTACAGACATTGAACTTTGATTTGTTATCAAAAGGATTGATTTAAACTTGTCTAAATTAATTGTAAACAAAAATAAAAGGGGGCACCTGCTATTTCTTTAAGTGTTTTTCACTGGGGGGTGGGGAAACTTTTTTGTACATACTTAAGCAATAGGAGGGATTAGATAAGAATCAATTAGTATATCAGAGTCTTAAAAAATATACTTTGCATAAGCATAAAAAAATTCTATATCAGTCTTTTTAAAACCTTTGAATATTGCTTAATTAACTATGATTTATCCAATTTTGGAGCTTTTTACCTAATTCTGGGTAGAATCCACCCTTATGAAATTATTGACTCAATTTTGACTTAATATCACTTTATTAACATCAAAGCACAAAAACAATTCATTGTACAAATATTTTATTTATTACAGTCACCAATATATCCAAATATCATCACCGGCCCAGACGTCATTCACTCCTTTGAATTGTGCTGGTAGCAGTAAGGTGTCATCATTTGAGATGGTCACAGTATCCAATACACTGAAGTCACAGGACTCTAATTTCATACATGTTCACAGGTAGGTGTATAGTCTTTGAAATTACCACAATTGACTAATTCTGGGACAGGTAAGTATGTACATGTAAGTACAGGAATGAGAGCACCAAATCCCCGGATGCACACATGGCTTTGTTTGTTATGGAACATTAAACCGAATACTGAATGGGTAGGCGTTACGCCATTGGCTGAAATCAGGTATTTAATTGTTTTCATTTTAAAGTAAAATTAATGACCTTTGAAATAAATGATGGGATGAGGGAATATTACAGAAACTATAGAAATGCCAGGGAAGATTTTAGGAGTGGGGGTTAATTTTTTATGCCGCGTGTTATTTACTGCGAATCTCTATAAGTTGAAAATAACTGCAATTTTGACTTATAAACGCCATGGGACCATATATTTTTTTCAGTATTTTTTGTTAGGGCTTAGAACAAAGTTTGAAATGATGCTAAAGATTTATCTGAAATTGTCATAGTAAAGTACTGAGAGGGCCTAAGGTTTGTATGGAGTTCTATGGGAAAATAATTAGTGGTCTTTTCCCTATACAAGATGCTGTCTGATGGCGTAGTGTAGAATGTAGCGTAGAATGTTTTCCAAGTCGGCTTAAATGCAAAGGTTTGTTTTAAAATTTATCATAATGACTTGCAAAAATTTAATGCAGTTAAATTTATTGTATTCTTGAAAGATTGACTGTAACACAATTTTTTTTACACAATTACAAATAATCAAATTAATTTTTTTCCAACTTTTTTTCAGGGTCTCTGCCAAAATCTTTTGAGGATTTTTCCTCTGCTAGAGCATCCATGGATGCAAATGAAACAACCCAGGACATCCCAACACATATGGATAATCAGGCCATGGCCTACAGTATGTACAAAAGTTGCCATACTTTTAAAGCAGTAACTTGCGTGCCTCCAAATGGTGCACTTACATTTTGCTCCATGCTGTACCCAGGTTCTACTTCTGATGTAGCTATTGTACGTCACAGCCAAGTTTTACGAAAGTTCAAAGCTGGAGACCTTATTTTGGTGGTCAAAGGTTTCACCATTCATGACCAGTTGCCCCAGGGTGTCTGCTTAATTATAAAAGCTCTTTTATCGACACGAGGCCAGTTTACCATACAAGAAGCAGCACTGTGTTACAAGATTGCTAAAGCACTTATTCATGTGGAAAGAGCCAACGAGAGGATAAAGAATTACGAGATTCTCCGTCACATACCATCTACTTACAGACCAATCTCAACAAAAATATTTCAACTCTGTTCTTGTCTTGTAAACTTGCAAGCTCCACTTTTGAAAGAAATTACTTAAAGATACATGTACTTATTATAAATTTGCATTGGCGTGTGACAGTATACACTAAACAGTGAAGATATTCATACCAAAGTGCAAGGGATAAGCAAATTTTGATTTGTTATCAATGTCAATGGTTATATTTGTTAACTTTGTAGTATGTTGTAATACATGTACTTCAGAAAATGAAAATCCCTTTTGTTTAGCATGGATTTATTACAAGAATGGTTGGCAATTCGATTCTTCATTTGACAATATAATTTGGAAGAGGGTTTACTTATAATTTTAAATTTCTAGTTTAAAGTATATTTACCTTTAAAGCACAACTCAACAAATTCATGTTTTCAACAATTTATCTATTAAGAAAGACAAAAATGTTACATTTTCACTTTGAGAATAACATCTTCAATTCATTAATAAAATGATTCTAAATTTTGATATTCTTTTTTTATGTAGTACATAGATTTTATTAATCATCATTGCTATTTAAAATAGTCTTATAAGCCAGAAGTTTTATGATGGATTCATTGGATTGTGACATATCATATCATACATTTATGAGACTTGGGAACATTCAACAAATTTAACACGATTACCCATTTTCCATTGTTAGAAAATTCTAGAGGTACAAAACTAAGTGTCAAGAAGTTCAAACCAGAACTCAGTTTTCCATCAGTGCTGGAATGAAAATGTTAATGTAGAAATCTATCAGCTTTGGAACATTTGCTGTCCATTCAATGTCTTTTACTATTCTAATCACAATGCAGTCTACTCTTGTCCACACAATTAAGTCGCAGAATGTTTTGTTACATATGTGTAGCTGGCCTTGAATTTGATGATAGTATGGGTGACTGGTTTTCAGGCACAGGGTATCTTGTTTAAGATCTAAAAAAAAATCAAAAAACACTTAAGTTGTGTTATACCAGTACATATCCCCTCCTTTTTCAATATCTTCATACCATATTGAACAGCTGCACTTGTAAATTAATACATGTTTTGAAATCATTTACTCACCAAGATTTTTAATTTCAAAGTACTGGACAATACAGATTTTTATACGCCCGTCTTAAGACGGGACGTATTATGTTATAGGCTTCGTGTCCGTCCGTCTGTCCGTCTGTCTGTCTGTTAGCTTTTCGTTTCCGGCTCATAACTTTAATACTATTAGGCCTAGGATTATCAAACTTTGTCATCTGATGCATCTTGGGTAGAAGGTGTGTCGCGCACAAAAAGTAGGTCGCTCTGACCTTTAATTAAGAAGTTATAGCTAAATATTGAAAAATCCTTTCCGGCCCATAACTAGAAAACTATAAGACTTACAATCATCAAACTTGGCCAGTTTATGCATCTTAGTTAGAAGGTGTGTCGCGACCTATTTCAAGGTCACTGTGACCTTTGATTTAAATGAAATTTTTAAAAAAAATGTGTCTTTTTACTATTCATTTACACATCCCCAAATAATGTAAGAGTATTGCACTGCCCTTATTAAAAAAGTGTTAAATCAAGAAAATACTTATTTTTTTAAAGCATATACTTGACAGCAAATATTATGTATGTTAAAGAAATCCTACCTCTCCCATGAGTGTAATTATCAAGCACTGGTCAAGACTCAAGAAGAATTTTGATAACAGAAAATTGCATGTCAAATTAGAGAGAAATTAATGAGTTTTGATTGTGAGGAGTTCGCTAATAGCTAGAGCATGGTGTTATCTATATCCCTTGAGTATTGGGCAAATGTGCAAGCCTGTTGGATTTAAAATAGCTCTTGCTGGCTAGCCTAAGTTTTAAAATGAATTTAATGAAAAGCAATGAAAACTAATTTAATATTGCATAGTAGACTAATCTTATATTATATAAAATTGTTAATTTATAAAAACTAATTTTATGGGATTGGGGTGGAATCAGCATGTCCATATGAATTTTATATTAAAACCTATCGGACATTAAATGTCAACCAAAAAAAATCTTTGAGTATTTCATATGTTTTTAAAAAAGTTATGGTAGATAGTGCAGACCCATTCATCTATTGGTATTAATGAGTAGACAAGCATCCAGTTAAAGATTAATTAATGAGTTCAGGCAAGCTGTCTTAATCACTCTGATCAAGCTGTATGATGACCTTTGGGAATTAGACAGAACTGTTGGTTAGTTTATAGCATATGTCATTTGATGGCCAGTCTTTTCTTTTCAAAATTAATTTGGTATAGATTAATTTGTTAAGACTAATTTGATATTGTTTAATATGATGGGCATTTGACAAGGTCTAACACAACCAGCATAGAAATCTATCAGTGATGTAATATTTATTATAACTAATGCCTACATCACAGGGGATGGATAAATATTTTTAGGAATGGAATAATCATGGAAGTTTAGAATCAGGGTTGATGTGATTGCAAGCTTACCAGGTAGCTGTTGAAGAAAATTGTAATTTTTGACGGGCGTATCATGCTGTGGCGCGGCACTTTATTAATGTTATTTACCTATGAAAAATCCTTCAAATTTTGTGCCCCATCTGCTACTGTTGAAGACGATGCTGTATATGGACACTTCACCTGTACAATATCAGGAATGGCGTCTTTGGCTTCTGGAGTTTGATAAAATACACTGCATGTTGGTGGTCGAACAACTAAGCCATCAGGTGAAGCTCCCAACACTCCGGATTCATGCAACCATATCCTTTCCAGAAAAAATTATAATACTACTGAATGCAAACAAACCATAATACAATTGATTTTGTAATGCAAACAAAGTCTAAGTAGAGCTTTTATAATCCTTCTACTTCAAAAAGCAAAGAAGAAGTCTCAATAAGGCATTATCTGTGGTCCCCGGTTACTCGTCAAATTTTAAACTTTCATTAAAAAACTTAAAAAGTAAATTATATTATTCTCTCATGTCTGTAGTATTTGCGTCAACGTTAAAAAATGTCAAATAATTGAACTAGACAACACGCGAAGCAGTGTTTTGAAGGTGGGGTCCTTTGATTTTCATGAATAACAAAAGAAATTTGTGACAGGTACCTACTTCTCGGCTTTCGTAAACATCGAGCGCAGATTTGTTCAAAGTCGAGATTGAAATATAATATGTATATCATATTTATACAGATTGTGTGAAAATATCTTTGTTGAACAACGTTGCGCTCTATGTGTTTTACTTAAAAGTATCATGATTTTGAATCTGTTTGGTGAGTACATTTACATAAGATTAACCCCTTGTTGACCTGCTAAGAATAGATAATATGTCACGTGATTCCATTCCGCCACAGGTGAATATATACCTCCGGAAAGTGTGTTTTCTCTCGGAAGCGACACATGTAGCTCGTATTTGAGAAGTGCAGTCACCAGTTTTTATTTATTAAAATTCAAAACAAGTATTTATAGACATCGAAGAATATCACTCATGTTAAATTTCAAATGATGAGTTTCATGGACATATTTTTATTCTCATACATGTATTTATTTATAATTGCAGTTTTCCTGGGCATTGCCAACAACACAATAATATACGAGTATAAATACACATTTAATCAATTTCTTGCGAAAAAGACTATTCAAAGCAACCTTACTCTTTTGTTGTCACGTTTTGGGGTGCATATAAACTCAGAAAAACTTCAAATGTATTAATGCAACTAAGTAGATGAATATTGAGTTCGAATTTCATTTACCGATATTGTGATATCTATTATTAAGAATCCTTATGAAGCATAATGATTATGTTTCTATTTTTCAACAACCGTTTTTGAAAAGATTAAACACATGTATATTACGCGATTTGTACAGGCTGTGTATATGTTAAACATATCAAGTGAATCGGAATATTCATTGTGGAATTTAGAGCAAAATTAAGAAATAAAAATATACATACTAGGCATGTAGTATCAGTCGGAGGGAAGACCCCTTCTTTTCAGAGATAAATCTTGAGTTCTTCACCCCCCCCCCCATCCCCCACCCCCACCCCCCTCCCCCCCCCAAAAAAAACTTTCTTAAGCATTAAGGCTGGTGCGATATGAATAAACATACATTGAAATTGTTTTATTTTTCAAATTAAAATGGGTAATAGTTTGATTCCTACTCCTACATAATCGATTTTTTTTTCAAGTTTGTAAGAGCTTACCCCCTTTTTTTTTGCTTTAACAAACTTCTGTTCAGGATTATTGCTTTTTTTTCTCAGCCCCCCCCCCCCCCTTTACAAAGAAGTGTATTTCTGTGTGTATTTACCGTGTACTGTGTAATTTATTATTCGATCGCTTTTACTTTTTAAACTGTCATATGGAAGAAAATTAATGGTGATTAATATATTTGATAGATGCATTTATAGATTCAAGATAAAAAAAAAGTGATTAAGGGATTTTCAGGCCAAAAATACCCCAAAGAACATGCAAAAAGAAGGCCCCTCGCCAACGCCAAATTAAGAAGAAAACGAATAGTGCAAGTAAAATTCAAGCTCATTGAATGATATTCTAACCCGGTCATTGTTAATTATTTCTTATCTCATGCTACCGCTAGCTAACCCTTCTTATAGTACCAGATTTAAATGTCTCCGCCCACGTGTATGTAATAGAGAAACCGTACTCTTATCGAAAGAAAATGTTCCGGAATTTGTATGTGCGATAGGTGTTGAAAATTGGCTTTTATTTCTTGATACTCAAAGTCATTAATAATGATTGTAAAAAATTTTTAATCAGAAATACTTTGTTATACACCATGAAAATAAAAATAATACCATATCCTCAAGTATTTTCTGTAAAATACGGGCGAAAAAAGGGACCAAGCTACTATACTTAAGTGGAAAACTCCTTTTCTGGAATATGTTGGTAACTGAATATTTATGCCCCGCCATGAATATGGCCGGGGCATATAGTGTTTGTCATGTCCGTCTTCCGTCCTTCCGTCCCACTTTGTGTTTAGCTCTGTTCAAAGCTAAGTTTCAAAGAAACTATCCAAGATATTTTCATCAAACTTCATATGCTGATAGATATTGATGAGAGCTATGCAACTGCATCAACATTTTTTGACCTTGACCTTTCCTTTGACCTTGACCTGACTTTTCTTAAATAGTGTTTAGCTCTGTTTTAAACATACCATTCAAGATGGTGTTATCAAACTTTACATGTTGATACAAACTTGCATAGATGATGCATCTAGAGATGAACACTATCGGACTTGCTTCGGATGCTGGATCTGACCTAAATTTTCCAGATGAGTGACCAAATTAAAGTTTTTGGAGCAGGTCCGTTCTTAAGAAACTATAAGCCCTACTTAGACCAAACTTGCTTGGATGATGCATCTAAGGATGGACACTACCAGACTTGCTTCGGATGCTGGATCTGACCTACATTTTCCAGATGAGTGACCAGGTTGATGTTTTTGGAGCAGATTTATTCCTAAGGAACTATCAGCCCTACTTAGACCAAACTTGCATGGATGATGCATCTAG